CAGAACAGGAGACGTAAAGGACAGTGTCTCGGGCCCCGGGGACACTGACCTCATTCACTGTGGCTCTTCAAACAGGAAACAGATGGTGTCCTGGTGATGAGGATGTGACTGTGTCAGTGTATGTGTCCCCAGTACACATATACAGTACACATGTACAGTACACATATACTGTACACATATACTGTACACATATACAGTACACATATACTGTACACATATACAGTACACATATACTGTACACATATACAGTACACATATACTGTACACATATACAGTAACACATATACTGTACACATATACTGTACACATATACAGTACACATATACTGTACACATATACTGTACACATATACTGTACACATATACTGTACACATATACAGTACACATATACTGTACACATATTCTGTACACATATACAGTACATATATACTGTACACATGTACAGTACACATCTACTGTACATATACACATATATATAGTACACATATACAGTACACATACACAGTACACATATACTGTACACATATTCTGTACACATATACAGTACATATATACTGTACACATGTACAGTACACATCTACTGTACATATATATAGTACACATATACAGTACACATACACAGTACACATATACTGTACACATGTACAGTACACATATACTGTACACATACAGTACACATATACTGCACACATATACTGTACACATATACTGTACACATATACTGTACACATATATAGTACACATATACAGTACACATACACAGTACACATATACTGTACACATATACAGTACACATATACTGTACACATATACTGTACACATATACTGTACACATATACTGTACACATATATAGTACACATATACTGTACACATATACTGTACACATATACAGTACACATATACTGTACACATATACTGTACACATATACTGCACACATGTACTGTACACATACAATACACATATACTGTACACATATACTGTACACATATATAGTACACATATACTGTACACATATACAGTACACATATACTGTACACATGTACAGTACACATATACTGTACACATCTACTAGACACATATACTGTACACATATACTGCACACATATACTGTACACATGTACTGTACACATACAATACACATATACTGTACACATATACTGTACACATATACTGTACACATATACTGTACACATATACTGTACACATATATAGTACACATATACTGTACACATATACTGTACACATATACAGTACACATGTACAGTACACATATACTGTACACATATACTGTACACATATACAGTACACATATACTGTACACATATACTGTACACATATACAGTACACATATACAGTACACATATACTGTACACATACTACTAGTACACATAAACTGTACACATATACAGTACACATGTACAGTACACATATACTGTACACATATATACAGTACACATATACTGTACACATATACTGTACACATATACAGTACACATATACTGTACACATATACTGTATACACATATACAGTACACATATACAGTACACATGTACAGTACACATATACTGTACACATGTACTGTACACATATACAGGACATATATACAGTACATATAAAAGTCTTAATAAACATATATTTATATCACTAAATAAATATCGCTAAATAAAATACAGACAGTAAAAAACATGCAGAGCACCTTTAACTGTACATTTTGTAACAAAACTGTAAGAGTGTGTAAGTAAGTTACAGGTCGGATCTGAGTAGAGGTGATCACACTCACAGTAAGAACACACAGCAAAGCAACAACATCTCCATGGAGACAAAAAGAATACCAGAACCTTCACCAGAAAAGTGACACAGAGCACCTTTAACATCTGGATGCATTGGCTCCGTGAGGAGCCCAGGCACCGTGTGGCCTACAGCAGGGCCCCGTGCTCCATGAGGAGCCCAGATGTACTCCGTGAGAGGGCCCATGTGCAGTGTAGCCAACTGCAGGGGCCCGTGCTCTGTGAGAGGACCCCAGGTGTGGTGTGGCGTGACGTGGAGAAACTGAAACTGAAATGACAGTGGCTCTTTATGAAGATGACACCTGACACTGAGACAAAGATACACACACACACACACACACACACACACACACACAAGCACACAGAATTTCTCAGCACCTAAATGTCATCAGAACAGAACAATCCTCTTTAATAAACACAGGGTATATTATGAGTCTAATGTTACAGAGCTCATGTTTCTGTTCTTGCAGCACTCCTTCATATTTCATTTAGTTTTTCTCGTTTTTGTGCTCTACAGTTTGAAAACACCACCATTGTTTAAAGCTACAGTACGTCACTTTCTGGAGGTAACACATTGCCTGCATGGAAAAAGAAAGTTAACTTCAGAACATTCTCCATGAACGCAGACAGGTTTTATTCCATTCTGTATTATCTGCAGTATTCTAGTCAAATGAACAGGCCCTGCTCCAGTCAGGTCTGCGGAGATGCAAGCCCGCTCACAGAAAGGATGTATGTTACCAACGCAATAAACAATCAAAATGAAAAACATGTTATAATTTTTGTAGAAAGTGACATACTGTAGCTTTAAGGACATCATGTTTTTTGGGGTATTATAAGACTAGAATATCAAATAATACAAAGATTATGATTTACTTTCTGTTTATTGTAAACTGCATAATTTCTAATGGCTTCATAACAGAAACTGGTGCACTGACTTTTTTGTAACAAACAGCAGATTTTGAGCTTTGAAAAACAGCTCTATGCCATTTTTGTTGACCTGGAGTCTGAATTTAGGGAGATGGGGGTAGGTGAAAACAGTTTATTTATTTTATTTATTTTATTTTTTCTGAGCACTGAAGCTTCCAGTGCAGAACAATACAGGGATAGTCAACATGCATGAATCCATAGTTACTTTTTTTTTTTTTGACTTGAGTCATTTCTTGAAGGATTACTTTGTACCTCTACTTGAGTAATATTGTTGTGAAGTGAACAGTACTCTTGGAAACTTTACTCTTATGTTGAACTGGTTTCTTCGAAGTCCCGTAGAAACTCTATTTCCCTAACGCAGAGTGCTGTTGGCTTGTGTTTGAAAACCATCTGCTTGTGAACGACGAGTCCTACACGCACACACACGCACACACACACACACACACAAACACAAACAAAACCACACAAACACAAACACACAGATCGTGGTGTTTTCTCCCACAGCACAAACATGACACTTGTCTCTTCACATTTTGCTGCCACATGTAGGACAGTGCAGAAGGGAGGGAGGGAGGAGGGAGGAGGAAGGGGAGCACATTGTAAATATTTTTTTCAGTTTTTTTGGAAAGAGGCCACATAGAAAGATTTTCTGAAGTATTTAAAGAAAGTTCACAGTTTTGCTTTGGAACGATTAAGAGACACAAATCCTATGAAACAAAACAAGGTGCATCCACTCCACAAAACAAGATTATTTACCATTTAGACATAATTAAATATGTACACAACGTTTTTACCTCCGCCAAGGAGGTTATGTTTTTGCCGGCGTTTTTTTGTTTGTTTGTTTGTTTGTTTTTCTGTTAGCAACATAACTCAAAAAGTTATGGACCGATTTTGATGAAATTTTCAGGATTTGTTGGAAATGTGAAAAGAAAGAACTGATTTCATTTTGGGGGTGATCTGGAAGAAATCCTGGATTCTGGATCACTTTGAAATTTTAGTTAACATTGTGGTAAATGGGGCCAAAAATTTTGTTTCTCAATATCTCGGTTAATTATTGACCAAACCCCATGAAATTTGACTCAGGGATGGACAATGGGATCCTCTTTCATATTCCAAAGGCTGATCCGGATCTGATCCAGAAGACTGATTTTATCGCAATTTATATAAAAAATGGGGGTAGTCCTTGGAGGAGGTCTGCGCTCTCTGAGTGCTTTTCTAGTTTTATTATGTTTTTTATTATAGTCATTTTCTTAAGCAGGATTTTAGTAAAACTGACAAATACACTGGTTTAAGGTTCTATATCACACATAACTGATTCTTGTGAACGTTAGGCCATGCTCCTCAAAAACAGACGTGGCATTGTGTTTTCTGTCAATTACATGTTTGATCAATCCTGTATTATTATTCTGTCTACATCTCCAAAGCTCAGAATACTCTGTTCTGTTGTGATGTCATGAAAGTAGTTTTCAAGTGAACAGCTCCTTCCAAAGCAATTCCAGGACTGAACTTATCCAAATGATTCTAGTGAAGGTGTGTGGAGTTTAAAAACAAGTCACAAGGTGGAACAGAGTGTTTTCTGTCTGAGAGAAGTCTAAATGTGCAGGTTTGTGTGTAAAACGTGTAAACAGAACAAAACAAAACACAACTCCAGGTCTGTTTGTGATGAGGAAACTACTCTAGAACAGATCAAAAAATGTGGAAGCGGAGCCATTTAAAGAGCAATATGTAACTTTTCTAGTTGGAATCTGCTGTGGTATGAACTTCAACTGATATTGCATGAACTTGTCTACATCAGAATCACTTAGAGCACTTAGTAGTCTTTGTATCATTCTACAAAATCTTGGTTTGGTCCAGGTTACCTCAGTCCTGATGTAGCAGTAGTAGTATAGGATAAAGGTTACTGCTACTTCTACAACTACAATAACTTACTATTACTACTACTACTATTACTGCTACTGCTATTTTACCTTGCTTTGAAATGTCCTTAGTTTGGGACAAAGGCTACTACTACTACTACTACTACTACTACTACTACTGTGCTCATTGAGTAATGAAGCTTTTCTTTCCTTACAAAATTCTCCAGCACATGTCCTTATATGGTCAATAGCACACTAAACAAGGCACTTTGTTTTGTCCCAGGATGTGAGGACAGGTCGAGCAGGTCTTCTGACGCACTGGGACCTGTGGGACTGAGTCAGATGCCCTCCCTGTCCCGACACGTTTGTCCTGTCCTGATCCTGGAGGCAAAACCGCACCCACGTCACACACTGAGAAACACCAGGCTACAGGACTGCACTGACAATCATTTATTTTTTTACAAAAACATGAGTACAAGTACAAAGTGTCCTTCAGTCTACTTCAAATACAGTACTTTGGTAAAGAGCTGGAGATACAGGTGCTGTGTCAGATGCCCTACCATCTTTGCATACATCCGTGTAGTGTTCACCTGAGATGAGGGCAGGTCAAATGTCAAAAATGTTCATTGAAACATTGTTTAAAAAAAAAAAACTAACTCTAATGAGAATAATTCAAAATTCTAGTGTAAAATGCAATAGTTTATACATTACAAAAGTGAGTGGAACCAGCCACTTGAACAACAACAAGAAAATTCAACATTTGTGGATTTGACACAAACACTGTAGACCACAAACAAATTTCACACAGCGTGTAATAAGGCACCTGAGAACATTCTTAGGTCTGAAAATGTCCACAGGTCAGAGGAGTCCAACAGAAAAAGTCTAAGTGGACTTGTGCAACATGAGCAGTTATGTCCCTGCGTCCTCCGGCAGACACAGCTCCTTCAGTGGCCTGTCCCGGCGTGGGTCTGTAGGGGGCGCTGTCAGCCTCTACTATAAAGAGTCTCTCCCAGGTCTGTTCCCTGGTTGTCCCTTTAGGCTTGCCTCTTAAGCGTTGCCTCTTTATGCGTGTCCTTTAATGTTCACCCTGGAGGTCCGTCCCCCGGAGTTCCCGTGAGGCTGACTCTCGTCTCTCATCTCTTCTTGTGGCTCTGTCTCTGGCTCCTCCTCCTCTGCAGGATCATGTGGTGGAGCATGTCCAGTCCAGGCTGTAAACCGGCCCCGTCCACAGCGGAGCAGCCCTGAGTGTGGTGCAGTGTGGACGAGCTGAGCTCATGGAGCGACAGGGCCTTCTCCACCTGACCAACAGATAGACAGGAGACAGGGTCAGAGACACAGAAACACGTACATACATACAACACCATGGTTTTGTCTGTGCCCATCCAACTATAAAATGTCATTATTGTCTGGAATCAAAGTACTTGAACTTTTTCTTTGGTACTAAAGTTCACCTGTAAATGTGACTCAGGCCTGTTTGTGAAATGAAACCTGCTCCAGGGCTTGGTGCTTTGTACAATGTTGTTTTAAAATGCTTGATTGCATAAAAGAAAGATGTCATGTCATTTTCACATTTTAATCAAAGGTCTAAAAATGAAGAAACATAGATTTGTGAAATATGCAAATCTCTGCTATTATGTCAATCCCTTTGAGCAAAAAATGTCTTGTCCCAGTTCAGATACTTGTATAAGCAGCTCTTGACGTCAAAATAAGTCCTCTGTGTGCCACATGCATCCAATAAAAAAATTATTATTTTTTGGCTGATAATCAGAAAGTGCACATTAGCGTGCTAGTTAGTGTTAGCTTGTTAGGTCTCTTAAAGTTGAGAAAGTGCAGTGAATAACTAGGATGCTCAGAATGCATAAAGTAAGTGAGGAATAACTCTGGACCACTGCAAAGAGTTTAAAATGAACTACCGTATTTTCCGCACTATAAGGCGCATTAAAAAGCCTTTAATTTCATCAAAAAATTACTGTTAATGCCTTATAATCCAGAGCATCTTATATGAATGTATTGGTTTGTCTTGGTACGACTTTAGTAAAGTACAAAGCCGCTCCACTTGCAGCATCACAGCTCCCATAGTCAGGAGCATCAGGAGTAATACATACTATGATTTCTTTTAATATCAAAATGCACCTGTCAAGAGACACGCTCACAACGCCACTTTAAACTCAAGGCTGTTCTAAAGTGAAAGTGCGTTTAGCTGTGTGGGAGCAGTGGATGAGAGAAGGAGAACACACATTCACCAAGACAGAGAGACAGCGCCGAGCCACTTACGCCACGATCTGCCAACGGATCGTGGACGCCCGGACTAAGGATCAGTATCAACTGTGGTCCGAGCTTTCACCAAGACCAGAACCATCACTGAACTGCCAGGGAACAGTAACCACACTGACTCGGATAATGACGAGAGGGATGTGGGCGTGCTTGACGCCGGAATCACCCAACTGTTTGAACTATTACGACTTATTGTGAATATGATAACAATTTAGCGTCTCAGACAGGATTTTTTTTACAAGTTACAATTGAACAAAGTTGAGAGTTATTGTGAACGCATTAAATAAAGTTTGACTGACTTATCTAACTGTTGTTTTGTTTAATGCCTTATATTCTGGTGTGGTTTATAGTGCGGAAAATATGGTAGTTCCGTTTTTCACATTTTTAAAAGGTTCACATTTTATATTATTTTCTGATCTATGTTCTAATGTAGTTTCCACATCACAAACAGACCTGGAGTTGTGTTTTTTTTCATTCACACATGTTTAACACACAAACCCTGCACATTTATGCCGAGTTCTTCTCTCAAACTAAAAACACAAACAGAAACACAGGAAGTGCTCCGCTGTGTTTTAAAACTCCATACACCTTCACTGGAATCATTTTGATAATTTCAGACCCAGAATTTCCAACCACTACTGAAGTAAAGGTAAAAAGAAAATTACCACTTCAAGATTGAACATTTTGAGCTTTGGAGATATACACAGAAAAAAAAAAAAAAAAGGTTACTCAAATGAAATGTGAATGAAACAAAAAGACAACTCCAGGCATGTTTCTGAGGAGGTAACAACAATCAAACATGGCTTAAAGCTCACAAGAGTCTCAGTTTGCGTAATATAGGAACTTCAACAAATAAAAGTCCATATTTCTGCTGAACTCAGCTCTGTTGTACCTACACAGCTGTGGTGATGTAATTAATCCCAGAATCCTGTGGGGGAAGCACAGGATGATGCGTGCAGGGCCTACAGAGTGACGCGGTGTGGCAGTGACATGAGCCCAGGTTTAACACACACTGGAATGGCCTACAGCACCTCACCTGCTCCACTGTGCACACCAGTCTCACATTTCAACACAATCTCCCATGAACTCACTCATAACCCCATGGAACCAACTGAAAACGTCATCACATATGGGCAGAAATGACGACTGATCCCATATGTATGTCAAGCAAACAGAACGGAAAGGAGACAAGTGCCAAGGTTCTATAGTGTGAGTTTCCAACCAATGTAACGAGGTGTGCAGGAGAGGCTCTACAGCGTCATGCAGCTCATAAAAGGTCCTATATTACACAAACTTGACTCGTGTGGGCTTGAAGCAATGTTCTAATGCTGTTCCCTCCTCAAAAACTCACCTGGAGTTGACTTTTGTGTTTGAGTAATCCTGTATTAAAAGTCTGTCTACATCTCCAAAGCTTAAAATGTTCTGTTCCACTTTGTGATGCCAAAACTGGAAACTGAATTGCTTGAATTATTCTAAAGTCTTCATCCCATGGATCCAATCTTGTGTTTCATCCAATCCCTCTTGTAGCCAGGCTGGCACCACCTAGTGCCTCTGCTCAATTTCATTTCTCTCCAGTGACTAGATCAGGAATCAAAATACACTAGACAATTCATAAAAACTCCAGAAGTGAGAGTTTGAGCACCAGCCAATCAGCAAAGAGCCATATACCCTATGGCGGAAGCACTATTAGTCGCTCTGGATTATAAGGCGTCATTAAAAGGTCTATTTTCGAACTTTTTTCACAAATAAAATGCACCGGACTTTAAAGGAAACCCAACAGTGTGATGGGTGAGTGGTTTTGTTTGTTTGTGGCGTTCACGGTGACTCTGGGCTTTGTTCAGTTGTGGTGTGTAGGGAGGGTGCTGTCTGGGACCGCTGGATTGTCGGCGTGTTCGCAGTGACTCAGTTGTTCAGTTGTGTCTAGAAGTGGCACATTGCACTTGCTTTTTCGGTTCGTTCCTCCGTTCCTCGTTGGCATGGGGCGCATTTATTTTTTGATGGGGTTGGAGGCTTAAGAGCGCGCTCAATAGTCTGGAAAATATGGTATTCTGTGTTGTCTACGATTCCTGAGATCAAGGCTTTAAAGCCATAACAAAGAGAATGTTTGGTGAATTTTATCAAGAGGAAAGACGTTACTGTCCTTCTTCCTATGGGATTTGGGAAAAGCTTAATATACCAGTTAGCCCCGTTAGTGGAGCATTACGTACGCCACAACCAAATAACAGCGACTGGTTAAATGAAAAAAGTACCCGCCTACCGTCAAGCAAATGAATTGCGATGTCAGACGGTTTCTATAAAGTGAAACGGTTGATGAAGCAGTTTATCCCTGTTGTGGACACAGCCCCAGACAGATAAAGCCTCTCTTATAGGCGAGTTTCAGCTGACGTCATTGTTATTAAAAGCCCGCGTTGCATGCTGGGAAATATTTAGGTCGGAGGCAAGAAACACGATAGTGGTCAAACACAGTGCGTAACCTCGCGTATTTCTCCCCGATAATGGTAAATTCCTGCTGCATTATCGGATGCACAAATAGAAGCACGGAAGAAGGAAAATGTCTTTTTCGTGTTCTGAGTGAAAAGAACCACTAACGGTGAATTAAATGGCTTTCAAACATTCGCAGAGCAAATGTAGAAGATCCTAACAAACCGTGGACTCCAACAAGTTCAACAACACATCGAGACTCTTGGAGGTTTTCCTCTTTTCTTCTGTGAATGGCCCAGGAGTTTCCACCAAGTCATTGTGGATATCACCAAAGTGAATATTTGTCCAGGTAGTTGGCGATGCTGACCAGAAATTTGGCTTGGTTCATCTTTTGTAGGGGTTGAAAAGGGTGATTTGGCGTCCATCGATGCTTATGACCAATTTCTGGTCAAATGGTCTTGGGTCCTCTGCCGTTAGAGTGGATAAATAACCGGGATCAATACCTTTTACGTGTTTTCTCGCTCCGTCCGTCATGTTGAATTAGTGTTTATTGCCGCCGACCAAAATAATTCCCAGCATGCAACACACGCTTTTGTCAACAATGAAACTCGCCTATATCTACTACATGATAACATTAGCATTAGTCTCACCTGTGCCGGCATCATGGCCCCGGGCAGGTCTTGTTTGTTGGCCAGCAGCAGGATGGGTGCTCCCTGGCTCTCTGGACAGCGGGCCATCCGGTGCAGCTCTGCTCGCGCCTCTTCCAGGCGCTCGGGGTCAGCGGCGTCTACCACAAACACCAGCCCGTCTGTCCTGCGCGTGTACGACTTCCACAGGGGCCGGAGTTTGTCCTGGCCCCCCACGTCCCACACTTGGTACAGACTGCCACCGCTCAGCCTCAGACGCTCCATGTTGAAGCCCTTGGTGGGAATGGTGTCCACGAACTCGCCCAGTTTGAGGCGGTAGAGCAGAGCCGTTTTGCCAGAAGAGTCCAGGCCAATCACCACAATGTGCAGGGGCTGGAGACCAGGCAGGAAGGGGCTCCCAGGGGCCCGCTCGCTCAGCTGGTTCCCCATAGTGTAAGGTGGAGGATGGGTGAGTGACTTCAGAAGGTAATTATAGATCTGAGAAAAAAAATGATACATTTTCATGGAGCTGTCCAGTTTATTTAATCTGAAATAGTCACATCTAACAGTCACGTCATTTATAGATTAATACTCAAAAACAGAATATAAAACTGTCTTAAGAACCGTTGGTGGGCTTATCTAATTTGAGTAATGATTCAATCAAATTACAAATTAAAGTGCAGCAAGTACAAATACCAGGTCATTAGTCGATAGACTTAGAGTGTATGTTATTTACGCCTACAGAACAGCATACTGTGATACTAGGAAAAGAGCAGTCTACACTCTGCATCCAGAGGGGCTCCAGGGGCCTCTCTATAGACCAAAAATGTAAACAGTTCAATGTAAAAACTGGTCATTTGTTTTGTCACAATTTGCATGTAAGAGGAAACATGCTGTAACATTTTCAAGCTGGGAGTTAGGTCCAGATTTTATGGGGCCTTAATTTGGGGCCCAAAGCTATTTCATCTGGCTTGCCTACACTGCATAAAAGTCAACTGGATACAATACTAACAGAACTGCATCGTTATAGTAACTTTTCTATAATAAATTCCACATTATTCAAGCTTGGACTGAGCAATAGGCCTAAAATATTAAAAACTAAGAAAAGACAATAGAAAGTTTCAGAATTACTTGTATAAACTGTTCTCCTGTAAAAATCCAAACACTTATATTAAAAATAAAGACATTTGTCCAGTAATTACAGTTTTTTACGGCATTTTACGGTTAAAGCCTCCCGTTTTCCCTGCACAAAAGTGAGCCATCTGGTCAGCCAGCGCTCGCACAGGGATCTGTGGGCTAATAAAACACATCTGTTCCATAGTACAAGCCTGAGCACTGAAAAGCAGACAAAAAAGCGTCAAACGTGCACTAAAGCATCTATTTTCGAAAAGGATAACGCATTTTAAACGTGCAGATTTCCAAAACACTGATAACGGGCAAAAAGTAGGAACGGACTATTTTTTCTCCAAGCCGTGTGATCGGAGAAAAGGAGCTCCGCGGAGTGAAACCAAGAAGTGAAATTACCTGCGCTGTTTTGCGGTTAAACTAACGGGCAATCCTCCAAAAACGTAACGTGAAATTCAATCCGTCCGACTGTCGCGTAAAATCCACCGGTGCAGAGTCGGGATTTGATCCGGAGAGGAGCGGCTGTGCGCGGTCAGGACGCAGAGCGCACGGACGGGACTGGAGCTGGAGAGAGCAGCGCGCACAAGTAAAGGGACATAAGCCACGCCTACCTCCACGTGACCTGCACATCCTACGTGACCTGAGCTGATGTGCTGATGTGGATTTAGTTGTTGTTAAAAGTCTACTTTCTGATCTCTGTTACATTGTTATTTCCTTGTTCAAAACTGACCTGGAGTTGTGTTTCGATTCATTCACACACAAACCAACATTTACCAAGACTTTTGGTATTTCAGATGTTTTAGTTCTTGATAAAAATATAGGTCATGCATTTTCACATTTCCACTACTTAATAATGAGAATATTAAGTTAGTGAAAATGTTTCACTCCAGCACTGAAGATTCATGTGTTCTTCTACAATAAAGAGACAGTATGTAACTTTGCACCAAGAAATAGACTAAAATAAAAGCAAGTTTTCATTTTGGTTGTGTTTATAGTGTTCTGTGGCTCATATCTCCACATACCTGACTCTTACTAGTTCTAGAGCAGAACCTATTTCTGCTTGTTTCCATGGAAATGTTCTTTTGGCTCTAATATTCCACAGTGTGGCATATGGAAGAAAATGTATTTATGTCCAATGGAAAATGTTTCAAAGTATGGTTTGAACTTTCTATTTCCATACAGTGATGTGCCACCTCCAGAACGTGACAGACTTTTAAATTTTTTTATAAAAGCTTCCAAACTACAGGCTCTGTGTCTTCTTCTAGCCAACAAAATCACTTTTTTTTTTTTCTTTAACTATACTGTACTATCTTGGCTCTTCTTTTTTTCTTTTTTGTTTTAAACAAGATGTAATCTGTTTGGAAACTTTGAGTAAGTAATGATGAAACTACAAATTTCCACTGAACCACAAACATAAACAGACAAGTACAAACAGGATACTGAAGTAGTGTAGTAGTAGTAGTATTTTTCTTAAGTACACTAGACGTGTTCTGTACAGTAAAAGCCAACACCCCGGGGTTCCAGTCACTTACTGTGGAGGAGTGACTTTAATTCATAGTTTGATATCATGTTTCCACATATTGTTCTTGTGTTTGCTCTTTGTTCTAATCTCTGACTCTTGTCGATCATCATCTTATCATTTCATCTAAAACGACTGAATCAAAGAAACATGTCCACTAACTGGTTAAGGAGGACAGAGATAGTCTGACCACTGCCCTGTGAGCCGCAGGGACATGTCCACAGCCTGGACATGTCCACAGCCTGGACACTGGACAAAATGAATATGTAATGATTTCAATTCACATTATTTAAATGAGCTGAATAATCCTGAAGTATTTACGCATGTATTTAAGCATGTATATACGCATGTATTTACAATGTATTTACACATGTATTTACACATGTATTGACAAATGTATTTCCGCATGTATTTATACATGTATTTATACATGTATTTACACATGTATTTACACATATATTTACGCATGTATTTACGCATGTATTTTCACATATATTTACGCATGTATTTACGCATGTATTTACGCATGTATTTACGAATGTATTTACGAATGTATTTACGCATGTATTTACGCATGTATTTACGCATGTATTTACGAATGTATTTACACATGTATTTACACATGTATTGACAAATGTATTTCCGCATGTATTTATACATGTATTTATACATGTATTTACACATGTATTTACACATGTATTTACACATGTATTTACACATATATTTACGCATGTATTTACGCATGTATTTACACATATATTTACGCATGTATTTACGAATGTATTTACGCATGTATTTACGCATGTATTTACGAATGTATTTACGAATGTATTTACGCATGTATTTACACATGTATTTACACATATATTTACGCATGTATTTACGCATGTATTTATACATGTATTTACGCATGTATTTACGCATGTATTTACGCATGTATTTACACATGTATTTACACATATATTTACGCATGTATTTACGCATGTATTTACGCATGTATTTAGACTTAGACAGACTTTATTGATCCACAAGGGAAATGATTTGGACACAGGAGTCACACATCACAATATACTAGAATAAAGAGAAATCCATTTAAATGGTAATAATACATTCTAAACAAGTAGCAAAAAAGAGCAAGAAACAGGTCAAAATAAAATAGGAAAATAAGCTTAGTAATTAAATAATTATTTTTTCCTGAGTACACTACACATACTGTGTCGGGTAAAAAGCCAACAGTGTGGGTGATTTACTATATTGGATGAGTAGGTGATTCGTTCTCTTCCCTCTGCGAGTGAGTGTTGTCAGTAAGTTTTATGTGACAATCTGAAATGATTTGAACATTTGTGTTTCTTGCAGCTCGTTCAGATCTGATTTAATTTGTCTTTTTTTGTGTGTGTCCTTTGAAAACACCAGATTTTGTGCATTATTTCTTTAAATTACATTAACCTTAAATTATAAATTGGATTATCCCAGTCACAATCACAGCCTTCTCAAATACTGCTTTACTTTTACTTTTTATTTTTCAGTATTTTATTTTGGAACACTACTTTTGACTTGAGTGGTTTTGAAGTAACAGTACACTTCCATGTGTACAGTTTTGGGTTGTTCCACCTCTGAACATTAAATCTACTAAACAAGATTTTAGGCCTCACATATCTAACTAAATAATAGAGCAAGTCAGATTGAAATATTAAACATTTGTCGAATTATGAAAATACAAGATAGGTACGGCTAATGCCATACTGTGGAACATTTCACACACAGCTATAACATCTCCATGGAGACATGAAAGAAATGCACCTAAAATCTCACCTGTCTCACAGTTTCAACCGTCTCACCCGTATCACCCGTCTCACCTGTTTCACCCGTCTCACCGTGTCACCTGTCTCACCATCTCACCTGTCTCACTCATCTCACCTGTCTCAACCGTCTCACCTGTCTCACCATCTCACCTGTCTCACCTGTCTCACCGTTCACCTGTCTCAACCGTCTCACCTGTCTCACCATCTCACCTGTCTCAACCGTCTCACCTGTCTCACCTGTCTCAAACCTGTCTCACCTGTCTCAACCTGTCTCACCTGTCTCACCTGTCTCACCTGTCTCAACCGTCTCACCCGTCTCACCTGTCTCACTCACCTGTCTCACCGTCTCACCTCATCTCACCTGTCTCACCTGTCTCAAACTCACCTGTCTCACCTGTCTCAACTCACCGTCTCACCTGTCTCACCTGTCTCACTGTCTCACCTGTCTCACACCTGTCTCACCCGTCTCACCTGTCTCAACCGTCTCAACCTGTCTCACCTGTCTCACCTGTCTCACCTGTCTCACCTGTCTCACTCAACCTGTCTCACCTGTCTCATCTCACCGTCTCACCTGTCTCACCTGTCTCACCATGTCTCACCTGTCTCACCTGTCTCACCTGTCTCACCTGTCTCACCTGTGTCTCACCTGTCTCACCTGTCTCAACCGTCACCGTCTCACCTGTCTCACCTGTCTCACCGTCTCTCTCTCACCGTCTCACCGTCTCACCTGTCTCACCTGTCTCACCCGTCTCACCTGTCTCACCTGTCTCAGTCGTCTCACCCATCTCACCTGTCTCACCTGTCTCAGTCGTCTCAACCATCTCACCTGTCTCAACCGTCTCACCGTCTCACCTGTCTCACCTGTCTCACCCATCTCACCTGTCTCAGTCGTCTCAACCGTCTCACCCGTCTCACCTGTCTCACCATGTCACCTGTCTCATTTGTCTCACCTGTCTCACTTGTCTCACTGTGTCACCTGTCTCACTGTCTCACCCGTCTCAACCGTCTCACCTGTCTCACCATCTCACCACCTCACCCCTCACCTGTCTCACCTGTCTCACCTGTCTCACCTGTCTCTAGCTCAGGATAAACTATAGAGACTCTACAGTGTTGTGTGTCCTGTAAATGTAAATGAATCCAGATTGACAGATTGACAGCTGCAGGAGCGGGGAGCACATGTGGCTGAGGAGGGGGCAGGGTGAGAGCTGTGTCCAGTATCTCTGCTCCCTCCCTGGGCTGGTCTCTCAGGTTTTCCCCTTTCACTGCTCCATAAGTTTCTCCCTTACAAAAAGCTTGGAATGTTGGGATTTCTCATTCAGTTCTTTATGAGAGTAACTTGACAACTGTTTACAACCAGTTACTCAAGTTGAAGTACAAATTAGTGGTCCAAGAAATGACTATGAAGTAAAACTATGACTATGAAGTAACCATAAAAAAGTACTGTAAGAGTAACTTAAAGAGTAACTGCCAGGATGGTACAGGTGATTTACAATGTGATGTTCTTTGAATTTAAATCATATCTGTGAAGGGGCACTGCAAGAATCACAAATGTTCAAATCATTTCATATTAGGAAGCACAACTTTTACTCAAGGAAGAGTACTGTTACTTCAAATATTACTTAAGAAGGAGTATGCAGTTAGAAATGTACTCTTTCAAAAGTTACTCAAGCAAATGAAAGTGTAACTACCACCAAAGACAGACACCAACAAACAGCAGCAGAAGCTATGTCTCCTCTTTTGTGGAAGATTTAAATATAATATATAGATATAAAAAAATACATTCAGATCATTTTATTTATTTTATTGATATATTTTATTATGTTATTACATTCTGTTTGATACAGGCTTTGGTTTCTTCCACCTTCACTTTAAACTGGACTGACACACACACATGTACACACACACACACACACACACACACACACACACACACACACACACACACACACACACACACACACACACACCACTTTCATATAAACTGTGTGGGTGAAGTGTCTTGCCTATGGACACAACAACATTTTTGTCAATGTCACCTCACTGTGGCACCCAGCAGTTTCCCATCGTGGTACTGACCAGGCCCCCCCCACACACACACACGCATGCACACACACCCCCACACACCCCCACACGCACACACACACACGCACACACACACACACACACACACACACACACACACACACATACCACTTTCATACTAGGCAATGTGGGGGAAGTGTCTTGCGTAAGGACACAACAACAGTTTTTGC